TTCACTCCATCACTGTTTTGCCAGACCCACCCCTCCCCTACATTTATAAAACTGCAGGCACTGTACTTCCCAGACTTATTTCGGCCTCTGTATCTTTGTTGCACAGAAAAGGCATGGCAGAGCCCAACACAAGTTTCTAAGGCAATTAGTGTTGAAGATTTGAAGCCGATCAGGGAGGTACTCAAGAGCTGTCTCATTCAAAGTAATATTTCAATTTCCTCGACAAAAAATAGAAAATTAGCTCTTAAACACCCCAAAGCCAGTCCCAACGGCTTTAAAAGCTCAATATCAATCAAATGAGCACTCAGTATTCATAGATAACCCACACCTAGGAAAGGAATCTAATGACGTTTCGGTACGTCCTGTAAGTTGACTTTGATCAAGGACGTAGCGAAACGTCTGCATGAAGTTCCTCTCCTAAGTACGGGTTATATGTGAATTTTTCCATCCACAGTATTGTGACTTATTATTCTCGAGGCATTGTATAACTACAGTGCTCAACAAAGTTTTCAGTTCATTCTTTAAGACGTGCGATTCATTCTGATTCAGAATTCAAACCTAAACTTTGTTTTGCTCCAACACGAACAGTTTCTGTTAAATAGAACCCCACAACAAACAGTCTCACCAAGACATACCCATCATGGAGAAGAGATACAAGGGAACCTGAAGACCGGTGTGATGGCCGACTACTGCTGTACGCTGGTGCGGGAGAGCCAAACTGAAAACAATACAGATTCTAGGACATAATTAGAAGACAGTAGAACTATATACAAAAGATGTACTCAGTCCCTCAGCCTTGGAGTTAGTGTTCACAGCATCGTGGTGGAGGAGAATCTGGAGTAAAGGCAAGAAGACTGGCGGTTATATAGGCGTCAGTGGATAAGGACTTGCAGCAGACGAGGGCATAGTCACTGGTAGGCGGGATTCCCCAGTGGAAGTAGGTCCTACCCAAAGGGATGGGTTAGTTGTAGCAGCCGTGAAGAAGGTCTTGTAGATGTCCGCTGAACCAAGATTCCATGATGTTGCAGTGTCTGACAAGTTGTGCAAGAAAGGTATAAAATACCGACAATGTGAAAGTTAAGACACATTTGCAACATCTGGATATCTTTATTGTAGACGTTTCGCCATCCAGTGGCTTTATCAATACAAATTCCAGGACATAATTAGAAGACAGTAGAACTATATACAAAAGAAGAGATAATCAGTGCCTCAGTCTTGGAGTTAGTGTTCACAGCGTCGACATATGTGATCCAGATAAGTTGGAATAACTGTTATGAAATTTAAGTTTGTTATACGTGTATATAATAAACATACTTTAGGAAAGATTAATGTTTGGCATTGTATACACCACACTTAATAACCGTGTGTAATATAACTGTTAGGGACCATATATAATGTGGCTCTTAAACTTTACATAACCAAAGTAATGATCATAAAATTAAAAAAAAAAATTACGTGGAGTTTACCTGGAGAGAGTTTCGGGGGTCAACGCCCCCGCGGCCCGGTCTGTGACCAGGCCTCCTTACGTGATGCTGACAAAACCAGCTCTCCAGAGTTAGCTTAAACCAGCCAACTTGTTTTCTGAGTTAGATAAAAAGCTCATATTTGTCTTATCAGAAGAGAAAAAGGCATTCAACTAATGCAGTTCCAAGATATTTAAAAAAAATGAATTTTAAAAACAAAAATAAAAAATTGACACACACTAAACTGCAGAGAATCCCAAATAATACGATCTCGCAGCGTAAGCACGTTCTTACAGCATTAACACGTTCTTATGACCACTAACACGTTCTTATAGCCGCTAATACGTTCTCACGACCATTACCTCTTTCTCGCAGCCACCATCACGGTCTCGCAGCCACCAACACGGTCTCACAGCCACCATCACGGTCTCGCAGCCACCAACACGGTCTCACAGCCACCAACACGGCCTCACAGCCACCAACACGGTCTCGCAGCCACCAACACGGTCTCTCAGCCACCATCACGGTCTCACAGCCACCAACACGGCCTTACAGCCACCAACACGGCCTCACAGCCACCAACACGGCCTCACAGCCACTAACACGGCCTCACAGCCACTAACACGGCCTCACAGCCACTAACACGGCCTCACAGCCATCAACACGGCCTCACAGCCATCAACACGGCCTCACAGCCATCAACACGGCCTCACAGCCATCAACACGGCCTCACAGCCATCAACACGGCCTCACAGCCATCAACACGGCTCACAGCCATCAACACGGCCTCACAGCCATCAACACGGCCTCACAGCCATCAACACGGCCTCACAGCCATCAACACGGCCTCACAGCCATCAACACGGTCTCACACCTCGAAATGTTTCTGACTTTTGTTGTGCTGTTTTGCAGCAAATAATTTTCCGGACTGAGTAATTTCCTGGTGTGGACGCTGCTTTGCCGGCAGTGTGACAACTTTTATGCGTGTTACAGAGTTTAATTGTTTGCACTGTGCATGATGGACTGTCAGATTAAAGGGCAAGCAACTAGTGGATAGCAAAGGGCAAGCAGTTAGTGGAGGCCCAAGGGCAAGCAAATTGCTTTGTATCGCCAGGACAAGCAACGTGATGGAGGCCATTGGTAAGTAAATTGCTTAGGTCGCTAACACTGAAGCTTCGTCAGATTACAATCTGGTGTTATAATATAATACATCAACCAACTTTGCGTATATTTTTCCTGTAGATTATACAAACATATCTGAAAAAGCAGATTTTGGTTTAGCCCATATTATGCAAAGCCTTGTTGTTTGAGAGTCTTTGTCTGTGGCGATACCACAACTTCCTGCTGAAAGGAGTGTAAGAGCTATGTGGTTTTATTCTTTTCTTATTGAAGGTAAATAGAAATATGTAGGTTTTAAAAATTTCAGTTTGATTTCAAAGGTTATGTTATTGTAAGTAATATCAAGTGTTATTCAGATTTTTGTAGTTTGATGTTCAAGTCATTTATACGTGTGGAGAAATCAGTAAATAAAATCATCTACAAATTCACAAAAAGTTAGATAATTCATGATAAAGTTTTCATTTGTCAGACCAGATCAATTTCGTCCAAACACTGAAATCGTTTAACGATTTACCTCTATTAATCAACGTTGTTCCACCGAATTCAAGTCTGAAATGCACTGAATTTAACTCTGAAATAGTCTTTTTCCAAAGCACTTGCAGAAATAAAATTTACTTCTTTTGATTACGATTTTTATAACTTTTCAAGTTCCTTATGACTAGCTTTTGCACACTAAGCTTCCTTGTGTACAATAAAATGTAAGCCTATCATTGGATGTCCAGCATATTTTGGAAACACTTTTACAAAACCAGTTTCTCTACCTATCATGCTGTGGTGCACCATCAGTTGTCAAACAAACTAGTTTTGAAAGGCCAGCCTATCGATTAGACAGTTCGTTAACTACTAACTGCCTTATATATTGCTTCCCATGTGGTATATTCGGGTAACGTTACCAAGTTAACCAGTTCTTGGTATATATCTTCACCACTACAAAGTCGAGTAATAATTGCTAGCCTAGCTAATGGTGAAACATCAGTGTTCTCATCAAGAGAAAGGAATTTGCAAAGAACCAAAATCTATGCTTAGCTCCTTTGTAATGTTTGTTTCTATCTTTGATACTCTTATCTTTCACTGGGTTTCTACTCACTGCCAGATCTTTAATACCCTGAATGATTTTTTCTTTTTCTGGAAAGCCATCGACAAGGAAAGGAGCGCATTCTACCCATGATTCTTTAATACACTCGCCCTTCACCTCTGAAATTTCAGAACCAGTAACAACGAAGATGGACTTACCTCATACAGATTTCATCAAAAACATGGGACTGCATATTTTTTATTCCCGATTTCTCAGGAAGTGTTTTTTTCAGTGGATGTCACGTGCCAGGATTTTTTTCTTCGTGTATCACCATGGGAACGCGTACCACGGATTTCTTACACCCTGCTAGACCGAAACACCACCACCACGGTCTAAAGAGAATTTGTGGCCTGTCCAGCTTCTGTGAGGCTGGAGAGAGCCCATAGTTCGACCCCCCAGTCAGCAATACTATTATTCATTGCTATAAAACCATTTGTTTCTTAACTGCATATATATATATATATATATATATATATAATATATATATATATATATATATATATATATATATATATATATATATATAAAATATATATATATGTCGTGCCGAATATGTAAAACTGGTCAATTAGCAAGAACTCATTTAAAATTAAGTCCTTTATGCAAATTTCTCTTATACGTTCAAAGATATATTTTTTCATTAATGTTAATATAAAAATTTTTAATTTTGCACCAAAAGAATCTTAGAAAACTTACCTAACCTTATTATAACAAGAGCAATTTATTTTAGCCTAACCCAACTAAATATATTTTAAATACGTTTACAATAATTTAGTACTAAACAAACACAATCAAATATATTTTTTTCGTTAGGTTCAGAATGATTTTGGCGAAATTATTGCATACACAAATTTTCACTTGTCCTATATGGCAAGATGAGTGTTGCTATTTAAGCCAAGATCGCAAGTTATGCCTATTCGGCACGACATATATATATGTATATATATATATATATATATATACATATGTGTATGTGTGTGTGTGTGTGTGTGTGTGTGTGTGTGTGTGTGTGTGTGTGTGTGTGTGTGGTTTTTCTATGGAAAAATTCTTGTATATTCAAATTTTTTAGATTAATTCTGTAATGTTGAAGCGCTAAATTCGTAGGGGTAGTACTGTGCCTATATTAATGAGAGATAATCAGATTTGATTCAGGGAAGAGATCAGGTTGAATTCCTTGGATTAAAATTTCGTCACCGGTGTTAAGGAATCTTCCTTAAAAATGTAAGCAGGTTTAGAGAAACAATATCAAAATAATCAACTTATTACAACTTTTATTTTTTTAGAAAAGTTAAACCGAGACAAACACAACAAGTGAAGTAATCCGTGTGTGTTTGATCTGACAGGTAATGGATACATCGAGGGATCAGAGCTGGACGGCTTCCTTAAGGAATTTGTCTCTTCAGTCAACGCAAAAGATGCTAATCCGGAGGTAGGAATCTATCTGCTTGTCACGTTTTCTCTCTGTATCTCTCGCTATCTGTTTCTGTCTTTCTGTGTTTGTCTTTCTCTCATACATTTCTCACATTTTGTTTTCTCTTTTTAATAACGTTCTGTAGTCTATGCTAACCCTGAGGTAGGAGTCTGTCTGCTTGTCACGTTTTCTCTCGATCTTTCTAGCTATCTGTTTCTTTCTCTGTCTCTGCCTTTCATACATTTCTCACATTCTGTTTTCTCTTTTTATTAACGTTCTGTAGTCTCCAAGTTCACTATTGCAATCACTATTATCAGTGAGCTTGAAGAAAATCCAAGTTATTTCGATAAATCGAGGTAAGGCAAGGGAAATGCCAGGTCACACCTCTGGCAATATGACTAGCAACCCCCTCAACAAGATACTCTCTGGCAATATGACTAGCAACCCCCTCAACAATATACTCTCTGGCAATATGACCAGTAACTCCCTCAACAAGATACTCTCTGGCAATATGACCAGTGACTCCCTCAACAAGATACTCTGGCAATATGACTAGCAATCTCCTCAACAAGATACTCTTTGGCAATATGACTAGCAACCCCCTCAACAAGATACTCTGGCAATATGACCAGCAATCTCCTCAACAAGATACTCTCTGGCAATATGACCAGCAACTCCCTCAAAAAGATACTCTCTCAATAACCAGAACCTGAAATTTTCAACAGAGAAACCTTTGGAATGTTACAAGAGTACGTTACCCCAGCTCACTCACGAAGTCTGAGGGAGGGGTCAAGAACTAGGCTTTGGTACATTCTGGGTCAGCGGGAGATGATTTCTTTTGTAAAAATAGTTGGGTCTTAGGTCGGGGCCTCTGCAATGTTTCCAGTGTACAGTTTATTGTTGGTTTGAAGGTAACTTGATGAGGCCTGATTGCTGAAGTGGTGACTTGGTATTTGAAGTGTCGCTTTTTGAGTCTCGTGAAAACATATAAACAGTCATCTATATATGGAGACAAAAATGCATAAGCTTTTAATGTGTTTTATTTGCCACTTTAGTATGTTAAAATAAAGCTGGTTAAAACACACCTATGTATGTTGTTAGTGCCAGAGCGCCGGACTGTTTTATTTATATGGGCGTCAATTAAACATTATTAATTGTGTTGAATATTAAAAGAGTTTATAATTAGTACTGAACACTAAACCATGTTTAAGTTTAGTACTGAACATTGAAATGTGTTTTAATTTTGGATTGAATACTCTACCAGGTTTAACTTTACTACTGAAAAGTAAAATGTGTTTAAACTTATTATTCAACAGCAAGATAAGTTTAACCTAACTGTTGATCCCCTAACCATGACTAAGCCTAGTACAGAAAACTAAACCATGTTTAACTAAACTTTGTATCAAATACTAAACTAGTTTCAGGCCAAGTATTAAATTCTAGACATTGTTTAAGCTTGGATATAATACATACACAAACTTACTTTCGCCTTATCCTTGCCTGTTTTACAGACTGTCTTTATAGATTAACTGGGAGATGGAACACAATCTGTAAGATGTGGTGTTTGGGGCTAAAACTGCGGGACACAACCTGGGGGATATGGTCTGTGGAACAGTCTGGGAGGTTACAATTGGATAGAGAGGTTGATCTGGGAGGTCACTAGACAGTGGATGGGCATACAGCACCCATCCATCCAAAGCCAACCATCCATCTATTTGCTATTGGTAGTTTTATACCATCTACTATTGCAACTGTTACATCATAATTAAGTCATACTAATGTCATGATCATCTCTTACACAAACATCCGCACTTGTCAAATAAATTTTATACCATTAACCTCTCAAAGAAAAAATATATATGGCATAATTATTACATATCACTTCCTCGAAAATCACACTGGTTAATTAATCTGTATCCAAAATCAGACTCGCCTGACATTAATATCAGTTTCGCATCTTCACATTCCGCAATAAATTTTGCATCAGTAATGCCTAAAGGAAAGAAAAATCACCCGAGATCTGAGCACCGACCAGTGAGGACTAACCATTCTGGGGACCTTGATATTATAAACAAAGGACTTTTTAATGCCTCCGAGATGGTGTGTTATTAAATCTATGAAGGAAAATGTGATTGAATTGCTATTGAATTATGTCTGGTAGGAGGGTTATATATATCAACTGATTTCCATTATATATTTCCTTATACTGTGCAATCGCACCAATCTTTAACGAGTTCGCTCAGATCGCTTTCATCTCGCTCTTGCCTTATCCGAGTTATTACTTTTCATAATTCTCTTTGCTGAGTTCATTATTTAAATACCCTATAGAAATGTTATGCATCCTTAAAGTGTCTTGTAGAGAATTATCAAGACCTTTCCAAGTTTGCTCATCCGTAACCCACAATATTCGATAGTTCAATATGTCATTTTCAATCACCCTGATCAACTTCACCTCTCATAAATTCCTTCACTATCTCCCTTAAGAGCAGAAAGAGGGGGGGGGTAACTTATAAATGTACTTGGTTTGTTATTTTTATTCGTCCTTTATTTCTGTCAAAATCAACAAAAATATAATTTCTTATATTCGACAATTTCATTATAAAAAAGCAAATAACTTTTTACTTGACTCAGAAGATAATTTTTCTTCTTATCCAATGAAAATGCTAAACCAAGTTTCAATATTTATTTAAAACACAATACCTACAAATATTTAGCTAACACTTTAGTCTATTTAAAAATGGCTAAGAAAATATAATTATTTTCATCTGAAACATATATTTCTCATATATTTTTCAACTCGTATATCTTTTTCTTATATATTTTTCAATTCGCATATCTTTTTCTTATATATTTTTCAACTCGCATATCTTTTTCTTATATATTTTTCAATTCGCATATCTTTTTCTTATATATTTTTCAACTCGTATATCTTTTTCTTATATATTTTTCAACTCGTATATCTTTTTCTTATATATTTTTCAACTCGCATATATTTTTCTTATATATTTTTCAACTCGTATATCTTTTTCTTATATATTTTTCAACTCGTATATCTTATACCATCGATAATATACACCCGTACTGTTATTCCTGACTATAATAATATCCGATATATAGTGAGTGGCAGCTTAAGCCTTGCCAGGTCTGGGGACAGAATATTTCTGGGCCAGTCTCAATATTAGTGCCACCCGCGGTGCACAGGCTGTCAAGGCTGAATAAAGAATTTCTAGTCTCTGGTTTATTTAGCTTTAGGGATGAAGGTGTTATATTAATAAAATTCATTATTTTCCCCCTTTTAGGTGAATACTCGTACACCTAAATAATTGTACTTGAGAGGTACGTATGTGGTTATTAAGACATTTATTAAGGATATGATTTGCTTACCACGGGTTTCTTTAGTCAAGGGGAGAAGACAGATGAGATACGCTGCCAGGTGCACAGAGAGGAGAAGCTGCTGCGTTAAGTGACGGCTATTTTTTGCTGGTAAAATATGTTGTGCTGGTATTAAGGATATGACGAAACTCCTTATGTTTTGGGCGTTATGCTGCTGTCAGTGATGAGTGACGACTCTAAACGAGAAGGTACGATTCAGAGCCGCCATTTCAGTGCCGCCGTTTCAGTGCCAGGCTGTTTCAGCCCCAAACTATTCATCACCAGACCTGCGTGCAATTTGTCAAACTAACCTAACCCTTTGTTTTAGACATTTGAAACAATTTTAATAATTTTTGCATTAAATAAACGAGTCTTTTAAATATGTAATTCAACAAATCGTTCTAAATAAATATTTCTTTTCCATATTCTGTTGAGTCGAGTCTTAAAAGTATGATGGCGTTGAAACGGCCTGACGCTGAAAAGTCTGGTTCTGAAACGGCGGCTCTGAAATAGCGACGCTGAATTTTGCCAACCCAACTCTAAGCATCGTCTGTTGCAACAATTGGACTCCCTGATAACTAGTTTAGCATTCTTCAAGTTCATAAGATGTCCTCAAATCTTGAGATGAATAATACCAGAATTATTCAGGTCGTCCCTCTGGCTTCTCCTGCTAGTGTTGCACAGAACCTAAACTATCTATGTAAGCCTGATTTTGTGCTGCATGTTGCAACAGTAACTCAATTGAAATCGGGTCCAAGTTTTTGGGTAATGTGTTCCCTATAGTAGAAATGTTTGGGTTGAGCTGCTAGTTCCTTCCTGAATCTCTTAACACGAACATATGACTGGTGTTGTCGAGCCAAATGAGTGTAGACTTGAGGATAGTCTAAGTCCCAGCTTTAAACCAGCATCAAAAACATATCTTCAGCCTAGTTATAACCGCCACCATACAGCAGAAAAACAGGCTTATATTAAAACTTCAGCTGCACTGCAACACAAGCAGGTGGGGGGGGGGACTAGGTACACCTGAAATTATCAATAATCTCTCCATGCAACCCTTCACTGACCTTGAGACTGAGGTACTTTCCCTTTTAAGTAGAATTTGCGACGAGGCTTCAGAATAACAAAATGCATCCACATATTCCGGTATGTTAGGTACAAGGACACAAGTGCAACTAATGTGACATTTTATTGTGGCAACGTTTCGCTCTCCAGGAGCTTTATCAAGCCATGGTAAAGGCTTGATAAAGTTCCTGGAGAGCGAAACGTTGCCACAATAAAGTCACATTAGTTGCACTTGTGTCCTTTTACTTCCACATAGGCTTCGTACCGGGAACAATTACAGCGAGCATCACTGAAACTACAGACCATATTCTCCCTCCCTGTTACTTAGCTGCACTAGCTCTACCAGAGACGATACTTGGGGTATACCTGGAGACTGTTCCGGGGGTCAACGTCCCTTCGGCCCGGTCCATGACCAGGCCTCGTGGTGGTTCAGGGATTGATCAACCAGGCTGTTACTGCTAGCCGCACACAAATCAACGTACGAACCACAGCCCGGCTGGTCAGGTACTGACTTTAGGTGTCTGTCCAGCTACCTCTTCAAGACAGTCAGGGATCTATTGGTAATCCCCCTTATGTATGCTGGG